ATCAGAACACAGATACCTGGGTTTCCTCCGCTCTCCACAACAGTGATGATGGAACAGAATGCAGCAGCTCTAGACGGGGGACACTCAGAACAGCAGATAACTGGATTTCCTCCGCTCTTCAGAACAGCATCAATGATGAATCAGAACACAGCAAGCTTTAAATTCCACCGTCACTTAATCTCTTCCTCAGCAACTCCAAACTGCAACACAGGGCAAGGCCGATGGGCACGTGACAGAATTCGGTATAGTAAGCATGCCGTAACTTCACTTCAAACACACACGGTGGGGCACAGCATCAACACACGTCACTCTCAACCACTCTGTGAAATATAAGGCCACAGCCCACCTCCTTGTTCTGAACAGCGGGGACAGTAAGACGGAAGAATATATAGCGACCCCAATCATGCATCACAACAGCTGTCTTCTCATTACGGTGTCTAGACTCCTTTTCCTAGATCGCTTCTCTTCATATACAGTGTCTTTGTGTATAAATCACATACCGTACGGCCAGTAAAAGGTTTGCACTTATCTCTACCCAAGAAGGGGACTTGATATCTCCAAGGCGACTTCTCCTCTGCTTCTCTGTTCCACACCACCCAATCCTTCGTAGCGGATTCCCTTCCGCGGGTCGATCTCACCAGCCGATTTGTCCCACAGAAACTCTCAGCCCACCTCGACGGAACAAAGTCAGGACACAGCACCCGAACACCGAACAACAGAACACTGCACTGAACTGAACTCCCTTGATCTCCCAAAGCTTGGTTTTTATCTGTTTCAAAGCGCTGTGTGTCCCAATCATCAAACAGCCTCTTGATGCGCCGCACCTGCTGTCACTCTGTCATCAGCGCCTGCTGTTGCCATGGTAGCGATGCATACAAGGCTGGCTGGGTGTTCCGTTGAAAGCGCTCCGGGTGGAAACATTCCTCCGTGGAATATATAGTTCCGCTGCTGGTTCGTCACCTTGTGACATACTCCCCCGCCAATCCGTTCTAGTCCCGAGAACGGGCTCCGCTCACCCAGTCTCCGTACCTCACCGGGGGTTGACCTCGGTTCTCCCTCTGGGACCGCCTCGGCGGAGACTCGGGTCTCACCGGTCCCGGTGCTGGGCCCAAGCCCCTGGGGACCACTCCCCATCCTACCAGTAACGGTCCTGGTGCTGCCACAACCGGGGGTGCTTCCTCTCTGGGATTTGGGTAGTTCGGGCAAGGGCGAATCAGATTCCGGTGGAGCACCCGCTCTGGGCCCGCTCTCCCCTCGGGCCGGATAGCATACACGGGTTGATCTGGACGTGGTTGTCGTAAGACCACATAGGGCCGAGGCTCCCACCGATCGCTCAGCTTACCCTTCCCTTGGCGACGATTATCCCTCACCAAGACTCTCTCTCCTGGGAGCAGTGGGGCTTCCCGAGCCGTTCGATCATACAGTCTCTTGCTCTTTGCCCCCGCCTGGTTAATCCGGTCCGAGACCCGGCCATACGCCCAGTGGAGTCGTTGGTGGTGCCTCGCCACCCAGTCTGACAAGCTCCCTTCTTCCACTTGGGTAGCAGCCCCCACCACTAAGTCGGCTGGTAGCCGCACGTGTCTTCCAAACATTAGATATGTTGGAGCATACCCGGTGGTGCTATGCACGCTGTTGTTATATGCTTGGATCAGAGCCGGAAGCGCATCCGCCCAATGGCCCTGCTGATCCATCTCCAACGTTCCCAACAGGCTCAGCAGTGTTTGGTTAAACCTCTCGCATCCTCCATTCGCTTGGGGATGGTACGGTGTCGTGTGGGTCTTCCTCCCCCCGTACAGCTGGCACAACTCATGGACCACCCTGGACTCGAAGTTCGGCCCCTGGTCTGAGTGGAATATTTCAGGGCACCCAAAGGGCTGAATCACAGCCCTCCACAGGGCATTTGCGGTGGTGGTAGCAGTTTGGTCCAAGGTGGGAATGGCCCAGGCATATTTGGTGAATAGATCTGTCACCGTCAGATAGTCCATAGCGACCATGTGCATGGGAGCCTTTGCCTGAATCGGGACCAATGGGGCTCGGGTCTCCCTCCTGGTCTTAAACAAGGTGCACCGGGGGCATCCTTGAAGGTAGGCCTTGGTAGTCCTCTCCATCCCAGGCCAATAGAACTGGCGTCGTAACAGCGATATCGTCTTCTCCAGGCCCTGATGGCCCAACTGGGTGTGATAGGCCTGTAGCAGGGACCGATGTTGCCCCTCCGGAACTACTGTTTGCCAGATCTTCTCGCCCAGGTTAGGGTCCTGGATGGAGCGACAGAGCACCCCCTCCCTTAAGGCCAACCTCTCCCGTTGTCCTAGCAACCCTCGGACTGCCTGAGTCTGAGCCCGGCGTTCTCTGGCCTCTGGCCATTTCCCAGTCTGGACCCACTCTCGTACCACCCGCAACCCTTCATCCTCCGCTTGTCTCGATCTCCAACACTGTGGGTCCCAGCCCCAACCAGTGGGGGCCTCTTCCTGTGAGGATCCAGGCGCTTCCACAATCCCCACCATCGCTCTTTCCTCCGCCTCGTAACTAGAGTTGGGCCCCTGACCTACTGGGCCTGCCACCGGAAACCTCGACAGTACATCAGCGTTCGTATGTTCCTTCCCTGGCCGGTACTTCAGCTGGTAGTCGAAATTCGCCAGTTGTGCCACCCATCTCTGTTCGACAGCCCCCAGCCTTGCCGTCTGAAGATGTACCAGAGGGTTGTTGTCAGTTACTACCAGAACCTTGGTCCCCCACAGGTAGTCCTTGAACTTTTCGCTCATTGCCCACTTCATGGCCAACAACTCAAGTTTGAAGGAGCTATAGTTAGCATCGTTCCTCTCTGTCGGATGTAAGCTTCGGCTGGCGTATGCAATCACCCTCTCCTTCCCCTGCTGTTTTTGGGCTAGCACGGCACCAAGGCCGAGATGGCTGGCGTCAGTGTACAAGATGAAAGGCTGGGAGAAGTCTGCATAGGCCAGAATCGGGGCCTGCAGTAGTTCCTGTTTGAGCCTCCGGAATGCAGCCTCACATGCCTGGTCCCACTGAACTGCGGGAGATCCCCGGCCCCTCGAACGTCCCGTGCCCCCGAGCAGCTGGTTAATGGGCTTGGCGATTTTAGAGAAGTCCCGAATGAACCGCCGGTAATATCCGACGAAGCCCAGGAAAGATCTGACCTGTCGCACAGTCTTCGGCGCCTCCCACCCTTGTACAGCCGACACCTTCTCTGGGTCCACAGCGATCCCAGCTGCACTCACCACATGGCCCAGAAACTTCACCTCTTTCCGGAAAAGCTGACACTTGTCAGGTTGCAGTTTTAGCCCGTATTTGTCCAGGGCGTGGAAAGCTTGCTCCAGGTGTTGGAGGTGAGACTCAAAGTCCGGCGAATAGACGATGACATCATCGAGGTAGACCAGCGTGGTTTCCGTCAACTGACCTCCCAGGCACCGCTGCATAAGCCGCTGGAACGTGGCTGGGGCGTTGCAAAGGCCAAACGGCATCCGTTCCCACTCGTATAGTCCGAAAGGGGTCGTGAAGGCTGTCTTCTCCCTGTCCCGCTCGTCCACCTGCACCTGCCAGTACCCACTGGCCAAGTCGAGAGTAGAATACCATGCAGACTGTGTAAGACTGGTGAGTGAGTCCTCTACTCGGGGCAGGGGGAAAGCATCCCGCTTAGTCACCTGGTTCAGCTTACGGTAATCCACACAGAATCTCCAGGAACCATTCTTCTTGCGCACCAGCACGATAGGGGCTGCCCAAGGGCTACTACTTTCCCGGATAATTCCCTTGTCCAACATTCCTCGCAGGAGGGTGCGGACCTCAGAATACAGGGTCGGTGGCACTGGTCGATAACGTTCTCTACTCGGAGCGGCGTCCCCGGTCGGAATCTGATGTTTTACAATGTCCGTCCGGCCATAGTCCTCGTCATGAGTCGAGAACAAGTGCTGCCATTTGAGCAGGAAATCCTGGAGCCGCCCAGTCTGTTCCTCTCCCAGTCCTTCACCGCGTAGTGATCCTCCCTGGAGGTGGTTTGGCAATTCCTCTCCCTCACTACCCACCGGCGGTCCAGTTCGGGTCAGGGCGACTTCCACTATGGAGGGGCTTACCCGTTTAAACTGCACTTCACCCTGCTCTCTCACTTGTTGCGGGCACACCGCTGTAACTCGGGCCAGACACTGATGACGATGCAACAGGACGGGGAATGCATTCATTGATGTTCCGTACCTTCACAGAAATCCTCCCCCGCCGTGCTGTGGCTAGCCCCCGAGCTACCTCTAGGTTTGGGCCGTCCAGATTAGAGCCCTGCGCGGGACTGGTTTCTTCATCCCGCTCCCGCCCACGCCCGCCGAATTTCTGACCATTACCGCCCGCTCCCGCAACGTATGAGTTACACTCCCGCCCGCTCCCGCAAAATGTATGTTTACTCCCGCCCGCACCCGCAAAACTCTGAGAATTTATTCCCGCACAATAATAGAGATGCATTGATTTTGTGTCTTCTCCCGTCCCGCAGGAAAAAAACACATTTGTATTGCTATTATTAAAGAGATTCATGATTTTTTTTTGTTTCGTTTCCCTGGCCTGCATGTATTCTGACGCACTGATGAAGAAGATGAATAGTAGCCTGGCTATCGGGGACATCTAAAACGCTTAGGCTACCGCGCATTTCTTTAGACTTCAAGTAGGTACTTTGATTTTGGCTATTGAAGTATTCTGTCATAGGCTTGATCGGTCCTGGTGTAAATGTGCAGAAAGCATATGAAAGCAGCTAGCCTATGAGAACACAGAAAGACAAAACACACAATACATTCAAATATAATTTCGTTTTTATCAAAAACTTTGCAGTGAGTGCACCATCACACGGCACATAAAAAATAGACTGCTTTGAAAAAAAAAATATATATGATAAACTAGGCAACATGAAAAACAGCAGTTTTACAATTATTAACCAAAGCCAGATGTCGCAGGTATTATGTTTGAAAAAATACAAATAAGAATAAAAACATTTAAACTTAGGCAGCCTGCTCAATAACACTGGCATCATCACGCCTCTTGACCTAATTTACAAATGGCAACGAGAGGCTGTGCTCAAAAAACAACACTAATAAATAACATAAAATAAACAACGTTAACGAATGAATTTAACAAATAAATCACTTTGCAATATTGCTGTGGAGGAAGAGAATGTTGCTGATCGACTGCGGTCCCAATCCCGTGCGTCTCTCTTCCAAGATGCGCCCGCAGACACTAAAGGCCCGCTCTGAAGGCGCACTGGATGCGGGGATACTAAAGATGAAACGTGACAGCTTTGATAGCGCTGGGAAGCGCTCTTTGTTGAACTTCCACCATTGAAGCACGCTGTCTGGGTCTGGGTTATCAGAGAGACGGGAGCTGAGATATTCAGCCATTTCATCATCGATCGGCTTTGGCACTGTGACTGAAGCAACGGACGCATCGTCTTCCCAGTCTGCGAATCGGTCTGTGGTGCTTTGCTTTTTGGCTGGTGGTGGCTCATCCTCTGCTGTGGCTGGGCCCAGATGAAACTGCATCTTCTGAATAATTTCCTTTGCGCCTTTGGATAGGATTTGATTTATATATAAATTAATATGTATTTTTAAAATGGCTCATGCTGTTATTCATTTATATTTTTTATTTATTCATTGTCTTTTATCTCCGTTTCTATTTTTTGACTGTATTAATTTCACTTAGCCTATTCTATAGTAATTGCACTGTGTTTTCTGTGTTTATGTCTGTTACATATAGCCTACCTTTAACCACGTCGTCTTTTTCATCTGGGGGCAGCATCCGTAGCATTCGCATTTTAGGAGTCAGGAGTGTTGCAATCCTGTACATCATGTGGAGAGGTAATGCAGATGTGTTACTGGTGCCCATCAGTTCTTCCAGACGCGAGGCACACACATCGGCGACTCCAGAGAGCAAGGGCTCGAGCATTGCTGCTTGGCAGTGTTCAATGAGTTTCACGGACCACGGCAGTGGAAGTGATGCGCTGGGAGTGGAGTTGTCGGACTCTAAGTCATTAGTAGCTTCCTTGAATAACTTAAGGAACGCAACTACTGTTTTTAAAGTGTTTGCATTGATCTGCGCAATTCTTTCATACTGGTTATTTTTAAGCAGTATTGTGGAGATCTCCTCATGTTGTTGCAGTATGGAATCCAGCATTTCATAATTTGAATTCCATCTTGTCTCGATGGATTGCTTGAGGGATTTCTTCAAACTGTTTTGCAGACCTGAATGTTTGAAATATTTCACCAGTTTTTTTGCACTGGTCAACAATTCAGACAGCTCAGTACTTTCAGCCAACACGTCTGGTGCAAATGCACTTGATAGGGTGACGTTCAGGATGTGCGCGTTGCAGTTCAGCCTGGTGTATCCACGCAGGGCAGCGACTATGTTGGCTCCACGGTCAGTGACAAACACAACACGGCCAGATAGAAGTGACGCATCTATTCCAAATTCACGGAGTTTCTGGAACAGCAGGCTCCTGATATTCTCCCCTGTCTTTGATACACCACTCTCAAAGGGAGCCGCGAATAACACCCTGGAAACGAGGTCGAAGTTGTTGTTTGTATAATGGATGGTGCCGGATATGAATGAAGTTTTATGGTAATCCTCCGTCCATATATCTGTTGTGATGGCACATCCATATGTTTCAATGATAGGCTTTATCTCCGCTGCCACTGACGCCTGCAGTACTTGGGCTCGCCCCTCGACATGTCTGGATACAGTGGTTGGATGAGGTAAAACATCTTTAACATCAAATTTGCCATATTTAGCGGCGACATCAACAAAGTGTTGCGATATGTCAACAAAGCCTTTCCCGGCGACGAAGTCATATGGCCTTATGTCTAGACAGCACACTTCCACACATTTCTCTGTAGTTTCTTGTTTAATGTGTGTAGGGATATGTTGTTTATCCTTGAAAACCAGCTTACTTTGACCAGGGAGAACAGAGCAGGTGTGTCGCCTCAACCCAGACGTGCCGGATTTGTGCCCATTGTAAATTAATATTTTTGCACATTTGTCACAATGAACAAAGTCCAGTTCCTTTCCATCTTTGTCACAGACAATTGAGAAACTTCTCCAAATGTCAGACTTGCCTTGCTTACGTTTTGTGCTGAAAATACCTCGTTTGAGGTTCTCATTTATTGACATCTCATTCTCCATGTTTACTAGGCTACCTCCCGCCCGATCCCGCAGGGTTTTTTTTAGCCGCCCGTTCCCGCCCGCAGCAAAGTTCAAACCGCCCGCTCCCGCGAGATTTGCGTTGGGTCCCGCGGGACTCAATCCCAATGCAGCCCTCTAGTCCAGATGGGGTTCCACCAATACCCACTCTCCCGGGCCATAGAGTTGTGAGGGGAGCCTGGCCCAAACCACAGCCTCACTCTGAGCGGGAATGGACAACGCGTATTGGCAAGCCGTCCTCCCAGTGCCCTCTCGATCTCCTCGCGTCTCGGCAAGGCGAACCCGCCGACAATCGGCCTTAATCCGGTCCCACTCTTGGCTTTCCGAGGTCGAGGCCGTCTGCTTTAGTCCACTTCGGAACAGTTCCTCCCAACATTCTGCTATAACGTTCATGCCCAACAATGCGCGATGGGTTCCTAAGCAGGCGTCACGAACGATCACCACCCCCTTCTGGGGGACAACAACTCCATGGATCTTCAAGTCAGTCACCAGGTAGTCTCGCGTAGCCAGACCTTCAGACTGACGGCTGAAGGTCTGGAATTCATAGCAGCTTTCTTTGGCCAAGGCCCGCCCATAAGGCCGTTTGACCGACATGTCAAACAACCAATTACAGTTCGTTTCGTTCAGCGTCACGTTTCGGTGCGTGGAAATGTCCCCACAACAACAGACCAGCGTGCAACAAGTCAGTCAGCATAGAAAATCAAAGAAGGAGAAGAAAACTTCAAGAGTCTATGCCGTGAACCTCGCATACTTTTGAGAATCCTACGTTTAGCTGATCTTGATAAATGCTCATTGTCACTCATGTAAACACAACGTTAGTTTTTCTTCCGCAATCACACGTCTGCGCTTTGTTTCCCTGCGGACCGAAAATAAACGCGACACTCGCACCCCCCGGAAATCCGATAAAATTCAACCAATCAGATGACGACTTCGACATTGCTGAAGTGTTTCCAGTTAAGTGTACCATATGCATCAGACGTTTAGCCAACGTTCCGTGGGCGTGACGTCTGAGGCTGAGACTAGTCACCAGGTAACCCACGTATGGGATGTCCAGACCGTTGGCTCCCCGTAGCGTCAACCAGGGGGCTTCCGAGGTGGGACAGTCCTGGCCCTTAAATAGCTCTCGTGACAGGCTCTCAGAGAACAGCGTAACTTGTGACCCAGTGTCTAACAGGCACTGTACTTCCAAGCCGTTGACCTGGGCCACTACAATGGGGCAATGCCCGACCAAACATGCTCTGGACTTCGTAACCAATAGGGGGTCTACCATGGGAGTCCCGGCCACTTGACCCACAGTGGCCGGCAACTCTAAAAATCCTCCTGTGATCCCCGGCGGGAGCGGCACTGGCGGAAGTAGTGACCCGGCTCTCCACAACCATGACAAATGGGGCGTCCCTGTTCGTCCCCCCTGAACCGTGGCCCCATTGGCCTAGCTGGGCGTCGTTCTGGGAATCTGCTCCCAGCTGAATAGGTCCGCTCTCGGAGCAATGGACTGGAACGTTCACGCCGGAGCTCTTCTCTGAAGGAATTGGATAGCTCGGTCAGCTGTTCCTGGACGTCCTTTTTCAACTCCTCTCGTAACGCACGTCTCCATTCCGCTTCAACCGGGCGTGGGGGGTCGACGGTTGCACTCGCAGCCATGTACGTTGAGGGCTCTATACTCTCCGTGTGGTCCTGTTCCAAGGCCAAAGCCTCTTGCCTCAGTTCGTCAAAAGACGAGTCCGGGTTCCGGCGGACTTGTATTCGCAGGCTTTGGCGTACGGGGCCTTCCCGTAGCCCCAGGAGGAATTGGTCTCGCAGCAGACTCTCTTCACCCCCTAGACCATGATCTTGCCTTCCTCTTAGCCTAGCGAACTGCTCTCTTAGCTGTAGCGTGAATGCCCGGATGGTCTGTCGCGGCCCTTGTTTGCAGTTGAAGAATTGTGTTCGCAGAACGGCTACGGGAGTGGTATCGCCGTATTGCCCCGAAAGGAAGTCAAAGATAGCTTGAGCCGTGGTACGGTTCGCTTCTGGCGCTGCTCGCACTTCCCTCAGTGCTTCTCCTTCCAAGGAATTTAAGATGAACTGCACTCCCTGAGGGGCGTCCAAACCTTGGAGCCCGACTAGATATTCGACCTGGGCCCTCCACGTCGACAGACTCATCTCCGATCCCGGACCTTGGTACTTCTGGGCCCAAGGGGCTACCATGAATATGGGCATGGCTTGTATTCGTGCTCCCGGTGCCTCTTCATCTGCCATAACGGCTTCTGGTGGCTCAACTCGGTGGTATCCTGCCGACTACGCCAATAATCTGTCACAGGTCGGGAGGGTCGACTGGGTCTACCCCCTCCCTTTAGAATGTACCACTGAGGAGCAAACCAGAAACCAGGCGGACAAGGAAAGTAAAAATGTAACAGACTTTATTGATTAAAAGAATTTGTAGATCCTAATTAAAACTCCTCCTTCCTCCCCAGCATCCAGTGGCCGCCGGGACGTCGGCCGGACAACAGGCGAGGACTCGGTCCACTCAACCCCTCAGACTTTTCGGATGCCAAGGCTCTCGGCTATGGAGGGGACGTGGATTGGACAGCAGGTAAGTACTCTAAGCACGGCTTATCCTTCTCGGGCTCTAAGTAGAATGTACTCTTCTCGATCTCTCAAGTGCAGAAAGTTTACAGCGGTGAAGAGGGGCGTCGACTGGACAGCAAGTAGGTACTCCAGGTACGGTTGGTTCTTCCCTAGACGGTGGGTGCGGAGAGCTTACAGCTGTGGAAAGGCGTCGACTAGACAGCAAGTAGGTACTCCAGGTACGGTTGGTTCCTCCCTAGACAGTGAGTGTAGAGAGCTTACAGCTGTGGAAAGGCGTCGACTAGACAGCAGGTGGGTACTTCGAGTACGGTTGGTTCTTCCCTATACAGGGGATGCAGAGAGCTTACAGCTGTAGAAAGGCGTCGACTAGACAGCAGGTGAGTGTTTAGAGTACGGTTGGCTCTTCCCTGTACAGTAGGTTCAGAAAGCTTACGGCTGTGAAAGGGGCGTCGACTGGACAGCCAGTAGGTACTCCAAGTACAATTGGTTCCTCCCAGTATAGCGGATACAGAAGCTCACGACGGTGACAGACGTCGACCGGACAGCAAGTGGGCACTCCAAGTACGGTAGGTTCTTCCCCATACAATGGGTAACGGAAAGTTTTCGGAGGGCTGGCGAGAAGGCTGACTGGGTGGTCAGATCGACAAGTCCGGACAATCGACCAGCTCCTGGGGTCAGCAGGCCTTAGGGGTAACACCCCGAACAGCAAACACTGGATTTCCTTCGCTCTCCACGGCAGTGTTGATAAGACAGAATGCAAGCGGCTTTAGATGGGGGACACTCAGAACAGCAGATAACTGGATTTCCTCCATTCTCCAGGACAGCATCAATGATGAATCAGAACACAGCAGGCTTGGAATGTACAACACTCAGAACAACAGATAACTGGATTTCCTCCGTTCTCCAGGACAGCATCAATGACGAATCAGAACACAGCAGGCTTGGAATGTACAACACTCAGAACAACAGATACCTGGGTTTCCTCCGCTCTCCACAACAGTGATGATGGAACAGTATGCAAGCGGCTTTAGATGGGGGACACCCAGAACAGCAGATAACTGGATTTCCTCCGTTCTCCAGAACAGCATCAATGATGAATCAGAACACAGCAGGCTTAGACTGTACACCACTCAGAACAACAGATAACTGGATTTCCTCCGTTCTCCGGGACAGCATCAATGATGAATCAGCATACAGCAGGCTTAGAATGTACGACACTCAGAACAACAGATACCTGGGTCTCCTCCGCTCTCCGCAACAGTGATGATGGAACAGAATGCAAGTGGCTTTAGGAGGGGGACACTCAGAACAGCAGGTAACTGGATTTCCTCCGTTCTCCAGAACAGCATCAATGATGAATCAGAACACAGCAGGCTTGGAATGTACAACACTCAGAACAACAGATACCTGGGTCTCCTCCGCTCTCCACAACAGTGATGATGGA